TGATTAACCCACAAATTTTGCGCGATGGGTGATTGTTCTCCGTTTTTACAACAAGGTCTTTATTTAATTTGAATCTAAAAGTATTTGCTTTGGCCAACACAGTTTTCCATTCTGATTTAATTTTACTTTTAAAAATGCTAATAAATTCCTGAACGCTGTATTTTAAGTCTTCAGTTTCGCAGTTGCGAGCCAGAGTGTCTGCAGTCTCATTTCCTACTATGCCGACATGAGATGGTATCCATGCAAATTCTACGATTCTATTTTTGTTTTGGAGGGAGTTAACATTTGCACGAATGTTGTGAACAATTTCTGGTCTAGGTGCTGTTTGGTCGTGTTTTATTGACTCTATACTGCGAAGGGAGTCTGACACGATGACTGCTTTTTGAACGGTGCATGACACAAGTCACTCAAGAGCTGTCGATATTGCCGTTAATTCTGTTGTATAGATGGAACATCCATCTGGTAACCTTTTTGATATATACTATTCAAAAAAAGTAGGGGATATTTGATTTTTAAGTGTTATTAAAGTCACCTAATGAAACTGACGAAGAAACAAATGACAAAATGAAATGAAGTTCACATTCATCGATTTATTCCAAATGATCGTTAGACTAAGTAAGGCACAGACTGACCATTATAAGGGTAAAATGATACCCGGGGTCAAACAGCAAAGTTACCACAGCATCACAACCAAGTCAGTAACGGGTAAATCCTCCTCTGTTTGCCAAACAAGCATTGATCCGACGTGGCATACTCCTAATGAGACGTCTAAGGTCATTTTGGTCCAGATTGTCCCATTCCTGTTGCAACGCAGCAGCAAGTTCTTGGACATTGGCATGACGTTGTTGACGTTGACGTAACCTCTGTCCAAGCATGTCCCAGACATGCTCGATGGGGGAGAGGTCGGGACTCAGTGCTGGCCAAGGTAATGTGGTGATGTGCTGTTGTTGGAGGTAACCTGTAACGATCCTGGCCCTGTGACATCTTGCGTTGTCATCCTGGAAGATGAAACGGCGGCCATGACGTCGTGCGAACGGCACAACATGGACTGCCAAGATGTTGTCCCGGTAGTACTGGCCTGTAACACGCCCTGCAACAACATGTAAAGCCGTTCTTCCAGCAACAGTGATGCCTCCCCACACCATAACAGAACCACCCCCAAATCGATCATGTCTGATGACGTTAACGTCTTGGAAGCGCTCGTTTCGACGACGCCACACCCTCCTACGTCTGTCCAAAAAATTAACAGTGAACCTTGACTCATCTGAAAACACCACATTGCTCCAGCGTCGATTATCCCAGTGTTGACGATCCCTACACCAACGACGTCTTGCCTGAATGTGATGATCTCTAAAACAAGGGATCACGCGAGGACGTCGGGCACGAAGGTGACCCCTATGCAGTCGATTCCGAATCGTCTGGCCACTCCCTCTCACACCAGTGTCTGTTTGAAGACGAGCGCTGTTCTGATTTGCTGTGATGACACGATTTCTCAAGGCCAAGGTACGGATAAATCGATCCTGGGCTTGAGTTGTCGCCCTTGGTCGACCTGAGCGTGGTCTGTCCTGTACAGATTGTGTATCACGGTATCTGGACCATAGCCTGCTTATGACAGACTGAGAAACATTCATCGTCCGCGCCACAACCGCCTGTGTTGTGCCGATCTGTAGCATGCCAAGGGCACGTAACCTTTCATTTTGGGTAAGCCGACGCATATCAAAATTTGTTTTCTGGTCACTAAAACAATTAAACTGATGTTTCCACCCTGGAATTCAATGCCACAATGACTGTAACATTCAAAGTCAGAGTCTTTCAAATCTTGGGTTGGACCCCCATGATGATCCCAAGCATCACCTGCATTCCATGCGGTAGCTATTGGTGCGTTTGGGCGTCACATGTAACTGGAAATGTTTCTTCTGTTAGGTTCTATAGTGACTTTTTTCGTAGTCATTTGCATATTTTAGTATTATGCCCCCAAAATCAAATATCCCCTACTTTTTTTGAATAGTATATTAACATTGAATTCGGGAATGCTGACACCTAACGCAGTTCTGTTTATACTAGGGTCGTGAGATTCAACCGTGTATATATTCACATGCTATGGCCATTTGAGAGCATTTGAGCTTGTTGTGGATTTTCGTTTTTCCTAACATTATTTAGGCTTGTATTATGGTTTGAATCCAGTAAAGTCCAGGGAGCTTGATAAGAAAATACCCTGTCAGTGATTTGATAGTGGTCTAATCCTAGATCTTTTAATAAATCATTTGCTCTGTGACCGAACGGTTGAGTCTCCGATTTCACATTTCTTTTAAATTTCTTCCTTGATGATTTTGTACACTTGAATGTTGGACAAATGTCTCCTAGATACTGTAACTTGCGCCTCAATTCGAATGACATTTCACTTACTTCCTGCAATAGACTTTCCCTTTTTGTACCAAATGAGACTTTTATCACTATCTTTATTGCTTATGGTTCCCCCTTGTCAGTGATGCAGGACGGAGGGCCTGATAAGGACAGCTGTCTAGTCTTTCGGATGAGACGAAAAACCGAGGTCCCGTGTATATATTGGAATGCACATAAAAGATCCCCTGGCAGTTAAAATTCGATATAAGAGTAGGCGATAGTGCCGCCGCCCGGGAAAAATTTCCCTCATAGCACACTGTATGGCGTATGCCCGTCTTCATTAGCCCAGTATAGGAGCAGAACAGTAGGGCGTTAAACCCCATTTCATTTCTTTATTGCTTGGTATTGTAAACTATCTAATTTCGCAAGAGCTGTTTTATTTGCACTCGCAAAAGCAGCACAGCCATAGTCACATATTAATCTTATCATGGACTTATATATCATGAGCAGGGTGGTTTTATTGGCTCCCCAGGATATGCCCGTCAGGCATCCCATTACATTCAAAACTTTCTGTCCTCTTTTAACAACATTTTCAATATGTGGTATGAAATTCATTTTGCGATCAAAGGTTACCCCTAAAAGCTTTGCCTGATCTTTAAATTCATTTCGGGTATTGTTCAATTCTAGTTTCATATACGCCACTTCCCTTATGATTCTTACCTACTGTTTTACATTCAGATAACCGAAATCCCCAATCATTAGACTATTTTGACAATTTGTCAAAAGCTTCCTGCATTCTCGTTCTAACCGTACCGTAGTTATTCGTTGCATGATAGATTGAACTGCCTTCTGCATAAACCGCTACGTCAATAAGTTTCTTGATGTACTTATTAGACTGATGTTCATTAATCATGATATTGAAAAGTGTCGGGCTTATAACAGAACCCTAGGGTGTGCCATTTTCCAGTTCATATTTATTGCTTATTGAGAGACCTACATTAACTTGTATTTGCCTATTGTTTAGAAAATCCTCGATCCAATGGAACATTCGTCCTGTTATCGCTAGTCCATGTGCTTTTTTAAGTAGGCCATCCACCCACACTAAGTCAAATGCACATAGATAATTGTTCTTTTTACACAGTAAAGTCATGATTTCATGTTATAACCTTACAATATGATCAATAGTGGAGCGCTGCTGTTTATATTCACTTTGGTTTAGACTAATTAATCCATTACTTTCACAATAATATCTTAGCCTATTATTTATCATAGTCTCAAGTGTTTTGCACAATTAGAGGTCAAACTTATCGGCCTGTAACAACTGGTTTGATTTTTATCTTTTAATGGGTTATTCAATGTGGTTATCGTTGCTGTTTTCCAGCTTGTCGGAACTGACCATGATTTATTGAATAATTCTAGAAGTAAATTACGTAATGACCCTGAGAGTTTTCTTAACATGCTTTATTTTATTTGATCTTCGCCAGTCGCCGAGTCAGTTTTGAAGCCTAAACCTTTATTCATTTCCTCTAGGGTAAACGTTAAGTTAATGGCTTTATGTTCGTCTGCTACTGTCTGATCCAGGTGACACAACGACACGAAAATTGCTTGCCATTTTATCAATTTTTAATAAAAGCGGCTAAAACTTAGTGACATACTTGAATTGCAATCCCATTACTTTCTTACACGAGGGAACCAATTTCAGATCAAGCTATATAACCTCCCTCTCTTGAAAAATCGTGGTTTGTTTACATCGCGCTATAGTTCAGCTCTGAACGTAGGTCTCATTACACTCGCCCTGTACGTTCAGGAACCTTCCTACTGAATGCTTGTCAAAAAAACAATCGTCCACCAGTCAAGAGAAATGTGACAATGGTTGCTTGGCAAAACGGTCACTTGTTAAGTTCGCTTTCTTGAACCATCAAGCCATGTCTGAATTTGACTATCAGTGGAGTCAAATCTCCTAATAATTTCTGCTTATTACAAAAGAATTATTCTGGGGTATATGTAAATTATAGCAATATGTATAATCAAACCGACAATTATCATTTTGCAGCAAATTTAATTTATAAAGAATCCTCACGCCCCTCGTCATTCAATGTAATGTCTGGAAATCTAAATATATGACCAATCATTACATAGATTACACCATTACAAGATTGCATCTTAGATTACACGATTACATCATGGATTAAGCGAGTACATCATAGATTACGCGATTATCCCGTATATTACACAATTAAACCATAGATTACACAATCAAACCATAGATTACACGATTAAACCATATATTACACAATCAAACCATATATTATAGGATTAAACCATAGATTACACGATTAAACCATAGATTACAAGATTAAACCATAGATTACAAGATTAAACCATAGATTACACGATTAAACCATATATACACAATTAAACCGTAGATTATACGATTAAACCATAGATTACACGATTAAACCATTGATTACACAATTAAACCATATATTACACGATCAAACCATATATTACACGATTAAACAATATATTACACGATTAAACCATTTTTACACGATTAAACCATATATTACACGATTAAACCATATATTACACAATTAAACCATATATTACACGATTAAACCATATATTACACAATCAAACCATATATTACACGATTAAACCATTGATTACACGATTAAACCATTGATTACACGATTAAACCATTGATTACAAGATTAAACCATAGATTACACGATTAAACCAATGATTACACTATAAAATTAGAAAAAGCAACACTAGGAATCACAATTATGTAATAATTCGCACACTATGTCTACTGTAAAGTTAACTAAAACTGTTCTTTCTTCACGCCCTAAAATAGAGAACACATTTTATAGAATAGTTCCTGTACATAATTTACATTTCTAATATAATATGTTTGTTTCAACAAGTCACATCTTATAAACAGTTTTTATACCCAGCTCTTAATTAGAATTATGAAATGGGGTTTAAAGTCCCACTTGTCGATACGCCTACCAACCGGACAAAAGAAGACGGGACGTATATGTTATCACAGAAATCTGGGATATAAAATACAAAAAAACGAATACTTACTATCGGATTTTTACTGAAATATAAAAAAAATATAATGCAATTAGTCATTAAACATTTTAAAAACACCAATTTTTTTCTATTTAAACAGCTTACCGTAACACTATCGTACTCTTTTTAAAAATTGGGGTGTTGGGGACAATTTGTTTTAATTACCTCTTCAAGTTATTTCGAACAATCAGCAGTACCGCGACTACAAATACTGTTACAACTACGGTTACCGGCACTACAATAGCGATCCAGAGATAACTGACTGGTGTAGAGTTGTCATCTGTTAAAAAGAAAGAAATAACATCCATGAAGCGATACCAAAAAATCCAACGGAACCTCATATAATACAATAGACCGGATGCTCAGTGCGGGGGGGGGGGCATCAAATGCGCACGAAACCAGACCCAACCTTTGTGCGTAGAATACGTTGCCGAGTGGTAATCAGTTCGCCGTTGGGGTGTTTTCGATATATTCGGGGTCAATGGTAAAATGATGCCATTTGCACTGAAAGTTAATGCACAGCCATTCATGTATCATGAAAACACATTGAAAATGATCGAAAGTAATCACTCTTTCAATAAAAATGTAAACTTGCTAAATTCACCTTCGTTCTTTGCGACCCGGATGTCAAAAGGGCATATTTGCCGTTGTTGCACTAGGAGAATTTAAAGCAATAAAATGTCAGCGTAAAATATAAAAAATAAAACGAAACCTGTTCTAATTAATAATAGGAACATTTAAAATTTATCTTTAGGTGGTCTTAGCACCGTACATTGACTTTGGAACGTCGAAAAAGATCTTGCATAACAGAACCAAAACACTCCGAAACCTGTTTCAAATATACATAAAAATGGTCAAATCGAAATCTTCCTGATTTAATTTAACCACGATTGTTATACATAACGAAACCATGTTTAACCATCCCCACCCCCTGCACTGAGCCTTCAGGCTTTAAATATAGCCTGGGATATACTAAATACAAATTGGTCCTAATTTGTAAAAAAAAAAAAAATCCTATAAGGGAATAGAATTCAGTTGGACTTTTTAAAAATTGAAGAACAGCACATTTGAAAGAGATGACATGTCTCTTGAAAAGAGGATGGAATGGACATCATGTACCCTGCACTATACGGTCACAACTACTGCTTACATAACAATTAAAAATGAGTCATGCTCATATAAAACTCGTAATATATTGATTATATAAACACATCTATAATGACTGTATCCTCCGATATGCTAAACCTATCAACATTCCCATGACGACGTCCATAAAGCGTTTTGAATGCATACTTTATTTGGATAGGTATATATAACTGGCCTTTTTACCATTTTGATGTTCAAGAGTCGCCTAATCGGAGGAAGTTAACGCATAGCACATTATAAATCATCTATATTTACCAATTTTCGTAAATAAACAATCTGACAATCTGTCTGAGCCGATAAATTGTGTCATCAATCCATCTGGACAATTAAAACAAAACGTTTGTCCAATATCAGGTTGATAAGTCCCTACTGCACAATATTCACAAATATCATCGTTTTCTTTATAATATTCTCCTGGGGAACACTCAACTATAATGGAAATTAAAATAAGTTACTTTCAGATCGTAATAATTGTGAAACAATAGCTTAGTTGATAACATTGCTTCCTGTTTCCCCGTGTAGTTAAATTATGTGATACATATCTACAGATATTCAAAATATTTATAAAATAGTGGTTTGAGGGGAAAATGCAGAAAATATCTACAGATATTCAGAATATTTATAAAATATTGGTTTGAGGGGAAAATGCAGCTGTTAATAATATTTGCAATATTAAGAATTTTACAAAGATATACTCTTCAAAAAAGTAGGGGATATTGAAATGCAAATACCTATGCAGGTTGTGATATGATAAATAGTCATGGACACTTGACACTTATCGCCCCAACAGAACCACCTAGCTGCATGTCCGATACGCAATAGCGCAATACACGTGGGAGGGGTTCATTGTCAAATTTGACACTTCAAGGAAGGGTTGAGGAAAACTGTCGCGTGCTGTTTGCTTTCATATCGGTTCTTCCATAAGATTTACTGTTTAGTGTTATTTGCTTTAGTGTGCTACGTTTAATTTGATCAGGAGACGTGTTAGTCAACGTCAACGTCAACCGACAACACTGCATGAATTGGCCGTCAGGCACTGCAAGAGAAGTGGGTCAGATTGCTCCAAATCGTGATTGGACGGTTGATTAGGAGCATGCCACGACGAATTGCTGAATGCCTGAGGATTGGTGGAAAAATTACTCATTATTAAGACAAAAATCAAAAACGTCAATTTTCACTTTTGACAGTGCATCTCTTTGCGAGTGAAATGGGTCGGTCAGATAAGCCGCCCATATGAACTGTTTATGTTCATGTGTGGGCAATTGTCCTGTTATTAACATACACTGGTCACCTCTAATAAAAACAGCAGTGCATTGCCGCAGTTTTGTTTTGTTTCTGAATATCCCCTACTTTGTTTTAACAGTGTTTAACGCGAATGATAATATAAACTCACTCATCATACAAAGAGTAGCCTGTACTTCTCAAAACAGCAGTAATAATATAATATAAACTCAATCATTATTCAAAGAATACCCAGTACTTCTCAGAACACAAGTATGTCGATTGATTCACTTAGCTTTTATAGATGTATCATATTGAAAGTGCTTTTTGAGAGCCCATCGGTCGTGGATGGGGGGAGTAGATACCCGCATCCGCCCCCATCACTCTCCCCTAAGAATAACGGCAACAAGCTGTATGATTAAAACAGAAGCTCTATCTAATAAATTTGACATAATTCTTTTCATATTACCGGCGGAGGGGTTGTTTCAAGTGGCGTGGTTTGTATCCATACCTATAATGCATTTTCAAAAACCAATCATATATTTTGACACCTACCACAAATACCATTTCCATGAACAGTTCCAGGTGGACATTTAATGGTTCCAATAACATCCATGTCACTTGTATAGTTGACACCATTAATAATAACATTAAAAATGGCGTCATCATCTTGTATCATCTGAGATGTTTTATCCAAAGTATCTAACGCACGAGTGATATCATCTGTACCATTTCCTTTAATAACAACCAAAAACTGACATTAATTCTCTATTCACACCTGACCCTTATATATCAAACATTATCTAAGGATATTTCCTTTCACTGCTTGTTGATTTTATTATTAAAATAGTAATACTTGGTAATTCAATTTTATTGTTTTTTTGTACTTGATTGAGCGATTCTTAAACATAATTTAGGTCAATGTGATTCAACATGCTAACGTGACAATGGGATCCATTGGATCTTATTTCTAATTGACTACATTGATCTCCCTAATCGTAGTATTATCATTATTACCTGGTTTAAAATCAATTGTTGATTGGTTAATTGGTATATTAATGGACACGCCCAGAGATAAGGTAGGAGCAGGATCTAAAACACAGCTGTTTATTGTAACATTTAACGTACAATCCGGGTTAGTAGAACATGGTAACTGATCTGTTATCTGGACAATTTGGTTCTGTACGTCATCCTGGGAATCACAGTCAGGTATTTTATACGATAATCCCAAATTAGCTTTATATTCTTCTGGGATTACAGGTTCTGTTAAATAAAATTCATAGAAAGTTAAAGAATTCGTCAAGAAATATTTAAGTGAATCAAATTAGTGAAGAAAACTGTCGGAATCCAAATCTCTGAGCGCAATAATTCTAGCCCATTTTATCAAAGGGTACACTGTGAAATCCCGGACCACCGCATTAAAAGCAACTAAAAGTAACTATTTTGTCATATCTCACGTCGAGTATTAGGCTACAATTGACAACTTTTATCTTTATGCTCTGTTTTTGTAACCCCAACCAAAATGTTTATCACGTGATCGAGTCAATCATTGTTAACTCTTTCATTTGTGAGATCAGAGATCGTCCTCTTATGCCAAAACTGGTTCACACCATACTTGAAAACAAGATATGTTAAAACTGCAGCATTTCTGCTAACTTTAGAACGGACGATCTCCAGAAAGCTGAAAATCAAAATCTATCGCGTTCACAAGCCAATTGTTGAGGGAAGACGGACAGACCAACGGACCGGGTGACGATATAATACACCCACACTGAAATGTGGGCGAATAAAAATATTGATTCCTAAAGTTATCTTATAAAGCAATAGGGGGCAACAAACCTAATAGGTTTTCACCTTTATAAAAACATGGCATACGGATGGGTGGGGGTTGGCCAAGCAAATAGGTCAGTGTAGCGACGGGGGGGGGGGGGGAGCCCTTTGCTTGCAATACTAAATATAATCTAATATTATATTAGAGAGCCATTGACAAAATGTAAACAGTACTCCTGCCAGGAGACTGGTATGATTAACTGTAATAATGTCTGAAACAAGGACCATGGCCTTACATCAAGCTAAACATTCTGAACTGATATCCCTATACCCCACCCCGGTCAATCAAAAATACAAATAATGTTATATACTTGTGCATGGTTGTGTTTTGTTTCCAGAGAGCCATTCTCCACCTTTACATTCATAGCTAGGTATAATATCCTTAAATACAAAACCAATCTGGCAAATAGGTGAACATATCATATCATCCTTATCACCAGTACATTCTGCTTTTGCTACACCATTTCCTAAAGTTAAGTTGGCTTCATGACACTCTACAAAAGAGAATCAACATTATAAGTTGGAAATATTCGAAATTTTTGATAAATTGGTGTTTATATATCAATTTTGAAGTATAGTCTAGAGAAACTGAAAGCTGAAACTTGAACAATAGTAGTGCGCATGACAGATACAAACCGGAAGACAAAGTGAAATCATGACTCGGCGTCTTGCTTTCGATTTCCCGTTATAAACCCGAAGCCAAGAAACGAATAAGGCAAAGATATGTCTCAATTTCTTGGCTACGCACTGATTATATCTTGTTAACTCATGGTGGACCCAAATGTCAAGGTTTATTGGCTTCCCTTCACAATTATAGGGTACTTGTTGGTTTTCAAAGACAACTGTCGTAATCCAACTGTTTAAAATAAAGAAATATCTTCCAAACAGTTAAGTTCACTTACATAATTCAGAAACCTTACAGAAAGGCCAACACATCAAATATAAAATATTTGCTAAGGGCGACAATTCTCCGTCATTTTGAATCAATTGGACTGACGCCTCGACCTAAAATGTGTATACACTTCACTTCCATGTATGTTTTGGAGCAACTCAATTCTGTTTTTGAAACCCCTATATGACGTCATACTTACAATATATAACAATCTATTGATATAAATGTCAGTATAATGCCACAGGGACATGAAAAGATTCACCAGACCTGGACAAGGTTGTGTATTACAATCTAGTAGTTCCATAGATCCTCCTGTACAGTTTAAACCATCTTCATCAGGTGATGGATTGGTACACGTCCTTTGTCTAGTTTTATTTCCACCATTACATGTTACAGAACATTGAGACCACTCACTCCAATCACTCCATCCACCATTAACTTACAAAAAATAAATTTTTAGTTTATACAAAGTGGGGAAAATTGGCCCATGGAGCTTGATTACTACGGCGATTTATTTACAATTATATGAACTGTAGTGGGAATTTGAAATACGAATGGGTAGCTCGAAAAATGCTTACTGTACTTTACGAGTATCTGAATATAAGGAGTAATTCAAGAAATAGTGTTCAGTATCTTCAAATTGGTGACCTCATTTACCGGTTGAATTATTAGAAATATGAGGTGAAAATTGATGTCCTTTCAGATAGATAGAAGAGAAACAAAGTTTACAATGAATGGTCTGGTTTACCCTGAATCCAAATCATAATGATTTAGGGAGGTGTTTGATCTTAAATCACCATTTCCGAATTGAAAATATTTAAAGATGTTGAATTTTTAGTGTCTAAACTTAATTTGTTTTTAAGGAGACTGAAATATGCGCTTTTTGTTGTGATTAAATCACGGAGATATGTTGGAGAAAGGCCGTTAATAATTCTATAAATACATTTGGGTTTATGTCTTCTGCATCACTCTTGGTAATAAAACCGGTTTCTTTATAGAACAGTCTATGCCTAGCACCCCTTACAGCACCACTGGATGTAGGTGCGTCTAGTTGTAGATGAGCTAATTTGTTAGCTAGTTGGTCCCAGATGATCAAATAACCAAAATGAGGTAGAATGAATGAAGTATAGATGGGTTGTAAGGATATAAGCTTAAGTCTGTATTTAAGGGATCTTAAACAATTGACAGATTTGCTGGGGTTTTTCGATAATGTCGTTAATATGTTTGTTCATTTGCAATTTTGTTGAAAAGTCAAGCCTAAATGTTTGTGATGGGGGACCTCCTTGACAGGAACACTATTTAGAGTAAGGGTAGATGAAATAGGATTTTGTTTGTTATCAGTTCTAGTGCTTACGTCTTCAGTAGGTTAAATAATACTTGCCACGTTTCAGCTCATGAGTTAATTTTTTTTCAGGTCACTGTTTAGTATATTTGCGCATTTTGTATGCGCATTTTGTAGGGTCATCAGTTTACAAACTGAGGAAAGTATCGCCACCGATGAATCTAACATTCATTGATGTAGATGAGAAAAGGAAGAGGACCTAGAACACAGCCCCGTGGCACGCCCGCTGGAATTATTTCCTTTGAATTGGTGAGATATGATTATACCCATGAGCTAATAAAATATCGTACTTACCAATTTTATAAGAGCACAGTCTTCCTTTGTATCCTGGCTTACAGTTGCAGGTATAATTCTTTGTTATTAGAGAATTATGACAAATGGCATCATTTTCACACAAATTATTTAGACAGTAATCTGGTGGAATATTACACGTTGTTCCTGTATAACCACCTTTACATTGACACGTAAAGCTACCTTGTTCATTAATACAGGTATGATTATTACATGGTGATGATAAACAGTCGTCATACGCTGAAATATTATATTGTTCATTAATAAACGTACGATTATTACTTGTATAGCATCCGTTTTTATTCGAAACATTTCTAATCGTTAAATAGCCTATTGATTTCTAATCGTTAATTGAACTATTGATTTCTAATCGTTAATTGAACTATTGATTTCTAATCGTTAATTGAACTATTGATTTCTAATCGTTAATTGAACTATTGATTTCTCATATTGTATGCCATTATGTAAAATTTAAATAAAGAGCTGGCCATTCTTGCTAAAGTTTAAAAAAAGATAATGAAAATGAATATATTGAAAATTTCAGTCACATTACTTTATTCTCATCGAAGTTATGACTGTTTTGACAAGAAATAGCGTAAATAGTTTCGATTGTCAAGTACAATTGCTACGATAATAAACAAAGTCTCGTTTTCCATTTTAACGTTTAACGAAGATATGGACATTCTCTAAGCTTCCCAATATCTCGTTGATCTGGAGAGTTTATTATGACGGCACCATTTGTAATATGTAATGTCTTAAGAAATTTAAAAGTGTGAATACACAAAACAGCAAAATAATCACATGCTATTAACAAACACCGTAAAATTTTATATTCATAAATAGTCAGCGTGTGAAAACAATATCAAATACAAACCATCACATGAACTTGGTATGGTTATTTCGATATCTGATGATTGAAGAGAATCAAGGTTATCAAATGACAGGATTGGATCGCCTTTAATGGTAATATCACATGTCTCCAGTTGTTTCGTTAGTTCATCTTCGGGTATGGGACTTCCAAATATTCGGAGTGACCTTACTATCAAACCTGTAAGACATTCATATGGTCGTCGTTTGTACGGTACGATAATGTAATTTTACCATTTAATTACACTATCAATAACACATAGAACATACAACAGTTTCCTTAACAGTTCATCTCAGCAATATGCTGGATTTTCTTGATCTGTCCTTTACGAAATGAGTTTATAATTTCTACAAGAGTTATAGTTTGAAAGATGTTTTGCTGTTTACTCCCGTCATGTTCGTCGCAAATGTGTAACTATAAATTAATATTATATTAATTTAATATAAATTAATATTATATTGACTTTTCAACTCTGTATAAACTTCTGTTAAAGCACGACTGGCTATGATCTAATTAAACATGTAATTAATCTCATATGTCATTTACAAACTACATATGATCTGTGTACAAGCTCCACATGACTTTAAAGGAATATGCACTGGTCAGTAAGCATACCATGACGAGATAAAAGAGACAATTGCAAGCATGATCATGGGTCTTATATATTGTCCGAGGGTATATAACGAGGAGTTTGCCGACAGTTAGACAGACAGAGAGGGGGGGGGGGAGGCTTGAACGAGTTCAGCCACTGCCTTGGCAGAGGGGCGGAATGGTGGATTCAATATTGTTATATGTTCCTGTTGTAGTCTAGTTCCCGATGTAGTCTAGTTCCTGTTCCCGGTGTAGTCTAGTTCCTGTATATTAGTTTAAGTTCCTGTATTGTTTTGTATGTAGATGTGTTAGATTCTGTTCCGATGTAAATAAACATATATTTACGAAACTGATGTCAGTTTTCACTAAAATAGTGTTACAGATGCTCGTTGAAAATCTATGCTTTATTAATGTGGACCGACTCCACCAGTAGCCACGGTGGGTAAGTGGGTAAGACGCTGGCTCGTTCAATCCCTGCATTGGCCAAGAAAGTTCATCGGGATTTTCCGACGTGGTTTCCCCGCGTATACATTGGCGTGTACGTAAAGGATCCCTTGGCAGTTGGAATTCGATATAAGAGTAGGTCATAGTGCCACTGCCCGGGCAAAATGTTTCTCATAACACATTTGCCCAGTCGAAGCAGAACAGTACGACGTTAAACCCGATTTCATTTCATTTCCGACTCCACCAAACTGGTCTCGTTTGATATGTAACTCAATAGCTATACTTGTCTTTGTCAATCAAGATCATTTCAGGCCAGCATCAACATCAAAACATTGTTTTATTTCGCCAGTGTGATAGTTATATAAACTTGTCAATTGCAACAATATTGGAGAAGTGAAAGCTTGGTAAACTAAAATATATATATTTTATCATTCACTAAAAGTATTTTTTTCATTACATATTTGAAATTTAAAAAAGTATTTGATATACTTGTTAGCTACTTACTACAATCCCCATTCGTTGTTAGTCTAAGACTTGTTCCATTTACTATTACAGAAGTAATATTTACAGTATGGGATGCAATTAACCTGGACGATGAAAATACTTGTATATCAGTTCCAGATTGATTTACAGAAATTAATAAATAAATCCAGTCTCCGGTTAAAGTTACTAACATGTTGTTACTGAAATAGATAATTCAAATCCAAAGGAAAAAACATCATGGTAGCAATAAAAGCTTGAAAAGATAAACCCCTACTGTTTAAGGACGCGATTTGCCATGTGCGGTCCTAATAATATCCGGTAAAAATCGACAAGGAAAGGTATGTTGTATGTATGAATCATAATCCAAAATTTAAATGATGTAATAAAATAATTGACAAACGCTGCTTGCTAGTTGGTGTTTAACGCCTGATTCTACAATAGTGATATTGTAGAGATTTCTTGTAAATCTGCATTAGACTGTGCAGAAACGCATACATGGACGACTGGGCTTAGTTTTACGGTTGGTCTTCATGATGCCCGTAAATAAAGCTCTAATTATCCATGTAATAAGAAAGTATCAAGCTTCGTCTATGTCCGTTTAAGACCCACAGTTCTAGATATCCCCCAAATATGCCAGTAGAAACTAAAATTAATTACCCATTAATATTAATTGAATTCTCGTCAACTGTGTAATTAACTATATTGTCTACATCAGGATGATTCAACTGTATGTATATTCCAACGTCAGCTATTTTAGTAATCTTCAATATACCTAGTATGGTATACTGGTCAAACGTTGTTGAAGATGAAACTGGTGTCGATTCAATCCACTGTCTTTCACTTATCAACAAATCAAACGCTAAAACAAAATCATTAAGCAATTAATATGAAGTACGAGTACTACACCCAACTAATAACTGTTGGAAACATCCTAATGTCCTTAATCCAGCTGCTGTTCTGTTTCCAGGTGAATCGTCTGAAACTACTTAATTATAACATATTATACTGTATACCTGTAAATAGATTTACAAAAATATGTTGGAAATATTTAGAGAACATCCGAGTTTTTCTAATAGTAAATGATATCAAGCTGGGGGGGTGGGGGGCTGAATGGTTAGCGTGCGCACGCTGTATCATAAAATCTGTCATTGAGTCGACTGGCGTGGTTTCGAATCCCCGGTTGTACGTGGCAAGGAGTAGGGTCGCCTGTCCAACCTCGTGGGTTTTCTCCGGGGCCTCCGGTTTCCTCCCACTGCTAAAGACCCCTACGCGCAAGCGAATTATTATGTAAATAAAATTAAACCATATGTTAATCCCGAAATGACCTAGTTTGTGTCGAGTGGACGTTAAACCCCATTTCTCTCTCTCGCTCTTGAATGAGCTGGAGACTATACTACAGACGACAATACTACAGATCATGCATATTCCTGACGCAATAGCCCGAGAAATCCCCCTCTGGCCATTGCTGGATTGACTTAAGATACTTGAGCATTTGAGGGGGGTGTCGATTCTTCACGTTCAATCAAACGGAGGGCCTGACAAGGATAACTGTCTTGTCGTTCGGATGGGACGGAAAACCGAGATCTCATGTATACATTGGCGCGCACGTAAAAATTCTTTGGCAGTTGGAATCGAATATAAGAGTCGAGCAAAATTTCGCTCATAGCATACTGTAGGGCGTATGCCGAACTTCATTGGCCCAGTCGGAGCAGAACCCTATTTCTTTTCATTTCAATTCGACCAGTATAAATCAGTCTTTTTCAAGCAAACGACCATTCTTGTCGAAATGTCGTACAAAATAAATGGTGATTGTATTTCACACTATGTACCATGTGTTGTACCGACACATAAATATTTGTATTTCCCTTTTTAAAAATCAAGCTGTTTGTGTCTTGTTTTCAAATATCCTTTGAATGACGTATTTCGCCTACCTGTACAACTAGATAAATCGGTTGCTCCAATGGAAGATGTTATTAAACCAACGGGACATGTTAAACAGTCTGTAGAATTAATATTTGGTTGATATGTTCCCTGAGAACAAGGTGTACAAGGTTCAACCCCAGTTCTAGAATATTTACCAGCTACACACATCTCTATATAAAATTTCAGACATATTAAATATACGTAAATTACAAATATTTCAAATACGCCATAATTATACTGATCTATAAAGATGTAAATACATATTATTATATAAAACTAAAAATAAAATCATGTTAAATAAACACAGATCCTATTACGTTTCGTTTTTTACAGTTCAAAATTTCGTTTTACTTGTCTTCATTACATTAGGATCTGGAAGAGTTGTTATATACTCTTAAAAAAATAGGGGATATTGAAATGCAAATACCTATGCAGGTTGTAATATGATAAATAGTCATGGACATTTGTCTTGCTTTGAGAGTATGTTCACAGATAAAGAACCTATCGCCCCAACAGAACCACTGAGCTGCACATGCGACACGCAATAGCGCCATACACGTGGGAGGGGTTCATTGTCAGATTTGACACTCCAAGGAAGGGTTGATGAAAACTGCCGCGTGCTGGTTTATCCTATCCATGTTTGCTTTCCTATCGGTTCTTGCGTAAAATTTACTGTTTAGCGTATCTTTGCTTTAGTGTGTTCGTTTAATTTGCAATGAGATGCCTTCAACATTATGAACGTCTACGTGCTATTGACATGCTTCAAATGGATTCTACACAGCGAGAAGTAGCCATCATGCTTAATGTGTCACAGTCTGTGATCAGCTGACTGTGGAACAGGTACCAACAACACATAATGTTGATGATAGACTTCGTTCAGATCGTCCTAGAGTCACTACACATGCCCAGGAAAGATACATTCGTACACAGGTCCTGCGAAATCGAGGACAAACGGCCAATCAGCTTTCTGTAAACTTGTACCAAGTTACAGGAATTCGAGTTACACGCCAAACGATTACAAATCTGCTACATGCCGCCCATTTGCATGCGTGACGACTGCGTGTTTGCCTCCATTAACTCACCAGCACATGGCAAACAGGCGTAAATGGTGTAGGCAACATTTAATGTTCTCAGATGAGTCCAGATTTACTCTGGATTTCACCGATAGGCGTGCTCGCATTTGGAGGCATGTAAATGAGCGTTATGCTAACGTTAACGTCAGACAGCATGACAGATTCGGGCGTTCCTTAATATCCCCTACTTTTTTGAAAAGTATATAAACCCTGTTCTGGTTAATGTGAGGGGTTAGCCAATGAAGCGGTCTGTTAATGCGATTTCTTGGCGTACTGTGCACGGAACTGTGGGTAAACCACTAGAAACGTCAACGCTGGTTCATTAATCAATGTCTGGCGGCATAGGGTTAAAAGCCGCTCGTATGACTTTTGACGCGACCTTTCAGTACAACCGCTCAGATCTTAATGTAGTGTAGGCCATCGAAACTATAAAAAACAAACGAAACGAAATATAAATATGTATTTTAATCAGATTTTAAAACAGGCAGGAGAAAGGAAACCAGTTTAATTACGTGGAAAACTGAATTATTTTCTAATCAATGTGTTGCTGGTGATGAATGTTCGTTTGATGTTGAAGGCCAACATAGGTGGTCCATAAAAATATACGTCGGTCCTGGTTAAACTTTGTTAAAGCCATAATTACATT